GTGATACTCAGAGACGGTTCCTCTGCACTGCACCATATTAGATATTCACATTATGGCCCAAGGCGAACCCCTATGCAATAAGATAGTCACTATTGAAATTACAGTACAGCTATCCTAATGGAAAAGGAGGATTGCTACATGCTAGGGTAGTATTGAACGTGGGGAGAAATATAAAAATTTCAGGAAGAAAGTGCTTTGAAAGTTGACCCACAAAGGATAAGAACATGAATTGATGAAGAGGGAAGAGTGGGCATTCCACACGAGGAGACTAGGGAATAGTACTCACAAAATTCTACAACAATTAACATGTTACACAGCAATATTGGCTTGGTGAGTACCTTGAGTTCCATTATGGATTGGGAACAGAAACTACTGTGTGAGTGGTAAAATGGGGATAGTTTGGGGAATCAGTACTTTTTCCTGAAGGCAACAAAGTGCAAAGGTTTTTAAGCAGGAGTGAGCCTTTGAACAAAATGCTTGTTTCTATCTCACTCACACACACACACACACACACACACACACAAAATGAAGAGAGAAAAGAGAAAATAAGGAATATATGCAGGCTTTTATCCTTAGCAGCAGAAGGCAACCTTGCCATCTCCAAGTGCTTCTTTGGAAGTACACTTGCCACATTGCTACCAAATTCCTTCTTTCCTTGCTCACACAACTTCGGCACTCTATGGCTTAGAGGGTAAAGTCCAAACTCCTTACACCAACATTCAAGATTCCCCAAAATTCTTCCCTGACATACCTCTCCAAAAAGCTCACTTTAAGGAAACTCATACTCTGGCTAGATGGTTTATAAATTAAATTCTAAAGAAACCACTGCGTCTCCTATGTACGTTCCCTCACTTGGGTGTTCTTTCTCCCTGCAATGCCCTATTTCCTGTTTATTCCTGTAAGGACTACCTAGATTTCAAGATTTAGTGCAAACCCTATATCCTCTAGGAAGACTTTCTCCATACCAATGTAGACCTTATTGACTTCGTCTTTTCAGAACGCAGTAATTCTTATTGTCTCTAACACGTGTAACACAAGCTACCTTGGCGGAAGTTACCTTTTCATAAGATACACCTGTACCTTATAAAAAGCCTTCCATTTCGCAGGCAGAAACCTGTTTACAAATTCTTAGCATCACCAACTGCTGGGGCACAGTGAATCATTAGGCTCAACGGCGGCTGGTAATGATGATCACCCTTAGTTTATAAGTGTGGTGGAGACACTCTCCACCAACGGCAGCCACTCCTCGCTAGGCCGCCGACGTCCAGCACGCGGGTTCTGGCCCCCACACGGAAGAGGGGAGGGGAGTTGCTTCAATATAAAGGAGAGTTTGCTGCTTGTGAAGTGACGCACGATATAAGTAATAATACGCAGAATCTGAATTGGAGTTGACGGAAAGTGCTAAAGTGGGAAAAAAGTTGGAAAATAAACGATCCTTCACGACACAAGGTACTCCATCCCGCAACAGAGACGCCGAACGAAACCGAAAACAGTCGGGCCTGGGCCCCGGCGAGATCTGGGGCGGGCTTTAATCGCGCGGTCCTCTGATTGGCTGCGTGCAGCCGCTGGGCGCCAGTGATTGGTGGGTGCCGCGAGGCGGGTCTGGCACGCTGCAGCGGTCCTCGAGGAAGGAGGCAGCGATGGCGGCAGAGGCTTCGACGGCTCAGCTAGCCATGTCTTTCTACCCGCATATGGGCAGCAGGAGTCGGTCCTGGGGTGCCGCCGAGATCCAGTGCACCCGGTGTGGAAGGAGGGTGCCCAGAGCATCCGGTGAGGGCCCCAGGGTTGCTCCGGCCCCACAGCGGGTGGGTGGCCCAGCTAGCGGGAGGCAGACGGAGCGAGGCCTAGCCCGGCCGCCCGCAAGCCCAGTGAACTGGGGCGCGGGGCCTCAGGAGCTGCCGCCAGGCCGGGTGTCCATGGAAACCGCTTTGCGGGCCTTCCAGGAGCCGCAGCCCACCCCCGAGAGGGCCTCGCTGGGGAGGGTCGGGGGCTTCCCGCCCCTTCCATGGCTTTCTCCACTTCCGAAGCCCTGTCTCGCCGACCCTCCAGTGGGAGGAGGGGGCCCGGCGGCTGTAGCCTCCCTTCTCTCCGTTTCGCACGCTTCCTTGGGTTGGCAAGTTCATGAAAGTGGGTGTAGAAATTTATCCCATTGTCTTGTGGTCAAGAAGGAATGACATTTGGTTTTCTTGTATAGTTTTTGTTGCAGGAGTAACAAACAGACCGCTGTGAAATGTTCCTGGATTTTAAAAAATTGGGTGGCTTTTTTTTTTACGTTATGACTGAAATTGGTTTAATGCATTGTTTGGAAAACTAATTCCTTTTGTGCATGTTGTCGGGTTTTTTTTGTCCTTATACATGGAGGGAAAAATATACTGCACTCTTGTTGATCTGCTAATTTACAATCTACTCAAGTGAACGCAGGTTGTTTTAATGTAACTTGAAACACATTAGAGTGCGGTGTCTGTGACAGGGATGAGTTGTTGACTCTCTGGAGCTACTGAAAATTCTTGTTGCCGGATGTATTGTTTAATATTTATGCTTTCAAAGTGAAGGTCATTTGATCGGATTTCTCAGTCTTTCAAGATGAACTCCGTCTATGAGATGTGAGCCTTTGTAGAGAAAGTTGTGTTTTTGGTGGACAGCCAAGTTGCTCCGACTTAGGGTTTAGATCGCTGCTGCTGTTACACAGAAAACTTCCATTTTTGAATGGAATAACAATTACAGAATAAAGTTCTAGAACACAACCTTTTAAAATCAGTTCTTCCATACGTTTGTATTACAATGCTTAGAAATAATTGGAAAAATTGTGGTTATGTGTATAGAATTGTAAAAGTGTTTTGTAAGCTGTAATGCACCACAGGTTATTTTGATTTGTGCAGTCTCAAAAATTTTGTAGAAACAGTTAAGAGTTTTGATTTCTTTGCTA